CAAAAAAAAGGCTGCTTAGACTAGTATACAAATTGTCATGGGCCTCGGTGTGCGGCTGGAATTTTCTATCAGAGTCCTGAGCCTACCTGGAATCCACTCCTGGCCAGTTCCTCTCACCTGGAGCTGAACCCATGTTGGTAGCTGGTTTTCATATTTCAAGCTCTCTTTGTGATTTTCCTTGCTGACCATAATTTTTTTGTGCTACAGTTCCTGGATTCACCTTGTCTCAACCCTCTGGCTTACGCTCCTCTCTCAGACTCAGGATACCAAACCAGCATTTTGGAAATCACACTGAGCCTCACCTGCCTGCTGTCCTGCCACCACACTCCATCAGGAACCTCCAGATCCCCGAGCCACGTTACCCAGGTCACGCCACTTCACGCCACATCAAGTTCTGTGTTTCGTTGTGTTTTGTCCTTGCCTCTTAGTCTAACCAATAAATATATTGTAAAACCACCTGCTGTCTCTGTTCTGGGTTTCTGCACCTGAGTCCAGTTTTGGTACTGACCACTCTGTCCTGTGACACAAATTCCCTAAATTTAAGGTTTTCCTACTTAATTTTCAGTTTTTGTTCAGTTTCTTGCTTTTTTAACTGACAGTTTCTCTTGAGAGTACGTGCTCTAACAATTGCCCCAAAAGTTCACTCTTGCTTATCTTTACTAAGATAACAAGAGTGAAATGCACTACAAAACAGCATTAACCTATATTAACCTCTCCAGGCTTCTGAAGGATATCTAAAGATCTCGTTTGAATGTTGTCTGCCTTTCAATGTCTCCATTCGTTATAGTCATAAAATTCTACCTTGTAATTAAGTTGGGCATCACCTGGGAAGTTTATGTACTGTCTTCTCAATACACAAATGGCCTTGAACACTCTGTGAAAGACTTTACACGCTGTTGGGTCACTAACTCCACATAAATCCCCAGTTTCTTGGTGAAAGGTGCCACATGCCGAAAAACATAAGGTTATGAGCACCTGCAGACTTATTGGAACAGGGTTAACAGATGAAAGACTGGGTTCCAAAAGGGAAATGATCCCCCCAGCATTTACTTTATGCATTCAAAAACAGTCTCAAACTGATGTTTTGTAGTGGGTCACTTCTGTCAGTGTGACCATCACTGAGATACTCCAAGTAATCCATGTGTCTTCTTCAGCAAACAGCACTAATGTAAAGTTAGACCTGCCTGCTGGGAGCTTTTATTTAAACCTCAATTTATGCCTGTATTAGCTCTAATCCTCCTTCAGGAAACAAGTTTGTTAGTTAGGAAAAGGCTTAGTCTAGTACTGTTTTATACTTTGACTGAGGAAACAGATTTCTGTTAGTCTGCATTTAAAGGTTGTTTAAATCTAGGACTAACTTTAATCTCTGTCTGGGAAACTCTCCCTTATTGATTAAATTTATACCCGATTATGTTCTGATCAGTATGAATTATGGTTCTGTGTCTACTACAACATTTAGAATCAGAGAGACTTTATTAATCCCAGAGGGAAATTGAGTTGTCATAGCAGCAAATATACAACAAACATCAAGCACTCATATAAAGTGAGTGTAAAAACAGAGATTTTGATAGATAAATATTAAGATAAATAGATAAACAGATATAGGTATAAATATACATATAAATTTAAGTATGTGTGCAAATAAATGTCGTGGTGTATAAAAGTGACAGGGTGCATTGATGTGTGATTAATTCTGTTCCACATGTGTGAACCTGACCCAAGTGGATGCATTAAAGAGTGTGATAGCATATTCTTCATATCATGTGTTTGTGTACACACTTGTATTTACATATCGGAAAATATCGGGCATTAAAGAAATAATATTATATTTTAAATATGCCAAAGCACGGTGATCAAGTCAGTTATCTCCTTAGCTGAAATTTGATTTTGAAGTGGTTTACAGAGTCACATGTGGATTTGCTAATATGTTGGTCAGTCTCTTCAGTCATGCACCAAATGTGTAACTGAAACTCACCCTGCCTTTCTACACAACTTATTTCATTCTGATTGGATCTTGTGTCAAGAGCAGTGACCCAGC